GAGCGGTTGATTGGTTGCTCTATCTCCAACTCTAGGATGTAAAGGTGGTTTGCCGTGCACCGAACTTGCGTGAGCAACCATCGTCGATTATCGCAGATCCTAAGTAGCCCGCGCTTGATGGAAATGTGGCAGCCGACCTTATCGAGTTGACCCAGGCTCACAATATTAGCCTTGAGCCTCGGGATGAAGTAGACGTCGGTCAGCTTGTGATGCTTGCCTCCCTTCCCGACAAACTGGATGGTGCCGTGCCCTTTGATCTCGATGACGGAGCCATCGCCAAATTTCATCGTCCCGCGAATCCCCGAGTCAAGCTCGGAGAACACAGACTTGGCCCCGGTCATATGGTTTGTTGCCCCCATATCGAGGACCCATCGCCGGTGCTCTTGCTGCTCGACTCTTTCACCGATTTGAGCGAACACTCGCTCCTCCTTCAGTTGAATTGGCTCCCCAGCTGGTGCCTTCGTTATGCCCAATTGGAGCTCTTCCTCGGGTTCGACGCTCACCGAAGCAGTTATGCTGTCGTCGATTACCTCTGTGGATTTGGGGAGCTCTTCCTCGGGTTCGACGCTCACCGAAGTAGTTATGCCGTCGTCAATTACCTCTGTGGATTTGGGGAGCTCTTCCTTGGGTTCAACGCTCACCGGAGCAGTTATGTCGTCGTCGATTACCTCTGTAGATTTGGGGAGCTCTTCCTCAGGTTCGATGCTCACCGGAGCACGTATGCCGTCGTCGATTACCTCTGTGGATTTGGGGAGCTCTTCCTCAGGTTCGACGCTCACCAGAGCAGGTATGTCGTTGTCGATTACCTCTGTAGATTTGGGGAGCACTTCCTCAAGATTAGGGACGTCAGGTAGGACTGATGTAGTCACCATGAAAAGGGCCGGCTCGTCCTCCTCGGATTGAGCCACATGGGCCTTCTCGGTAGTTTCCTTGTTCCTGAGCTTGCTCCAGCAATTCTTGCTCAGGTGACCTCTCTTCCCACAGTACGAGCACTCGATTGGCCCGTCATCAGTCGGCCCCTCCTTCTTTTGATCCGCCTCTTTCCCGCGCATGTGCCGGTGAGATTTCCATGGTTTCTTACAGCCTTTACGGCTGGAGGGCCCATTGCTCTCGCCGGTGCCGTCACAGAGCTTTAGGCGTGCAAGTCATTCCTCCTTAGTGAGGAGTAGACGACCCTCCTTGTCGACAGCTGAAACGGTATTTTTCTTCCACTGCTCGACGTTACGCAGTCTTCCAGTCACCTCTTCCACCGTTAGGTCGTTCACGTCAAGCAATATCTCGATTGAAATCGCGACTTGCTCAAGGTGATTGGGGACGACCTGCAGCATCTTCTTCACGATTTCGGTTCCTTTGAACACCTTTTCTAGAGTGTCCCACGCTTCTTTTGAAGTAGTTGCCTTGGAAATCTTCTCAAAGCCCGACTCGTCAACAGCCCAGAACAGCATGTATAATGCTACCTTATCCTTTGATCACAATTCTTTTAGCGCCTTATTTTGCGCTGCCATATAACCCGTGGTATCCTTCGGTTCTTCAAGACCTTCTTCGACCACCTCCCATGCATCTTGAGAACTGAGAAGAGCTTTCATTTGGATGTTCTAATTCTCGTAGTTTGTCTTCGTTAATCGTGGTAGCGGCATTTGTCTCATCGTATTCGCCATCGGCTTTGATACCAATTTGTTGAAATAAAAGCTTGCTCTAATACTAATTTGTTAAAATGACACTCACGAAACTGTGAAGGAGATGTCGAGAGGGGAGAGACAAGGAGACAAAGAATTCTGAAAAACCTTTTTTCTTTTGCTATGTACTTTTTGTCCTCTCCACTTTTGCTCTTTGCTCTTTTGCTCTACTTGATCTGTTTTTTTTACAATGGAAAACAAACTAACTTATAGGTTTTCTAAAGACTAAAAATGGCTATCACTATGTCATCATTTTCTAATCCACTATTCCTAAAATAATTCTCACTATTCTTGAAATAGTTATTGACCTTTCAATTTTCCTTTTAGCCTTTTCCTTCCACGACTGAGTTTCAAAGCTTACTAAAATTAACAAAAAATAAAACTACCCTTTTCATTTAAGTTTATTCCAACAAAATTGGTTTGGAAGTCTTCTTACTTAACATACTTCTTGCCATCTCTACAATAGTTCGATTTTTTCATTTAGTGATTCCATTGTGTTCTGGAGTGTAGGGAGCTGTTAACTCCCTTTGGATGCCATTTTCTTTACAAAACAGATTGAGCTCTTTAGATATGAACTCGCCACCTCTATCTGTGAATGTGATAGCCACTTTGGTTCTCCACCATAGCTTTAAAAATCTGAAACTTCTAAAAAAGGTTCTAACTTATGTTGTAGGAAGTAAACCCAGCTCAATTGACTATAGTCATCGATGAATAGTAAAAAGTATATACTCTCATCCAAGGACTTCGTTTGCATTGGCCCACATAATTCAGCATGAATTAGTTGTAGACAATGTGGAGCTCTTTTAGCTTTTCCAACAGGAAAGGACTTTCTAGTTTGTTTGCCATAAATGCATCCTTCACATAAATTAGTTGAATCAATTCTTGGTAATCTGAAAACCATACCTTTATCCCTGAGTATTTCCAGGTTCTTCGTATGAAGATGTCCATATCTAAGATGCCATAATGTTGAGTCATCTTTTGTGCTAGCAGTAAGAGCAAAATCTTCTATGTTAGAAACACCTAGTGGAAACATCTTATTTGAATTTATGGCAATTTGAACTTTATGGCCTGATTTCTTATGTGTTGTCATCAAATAGAACGAAATGTCCTCTAGTCATCAATTGTTCAACAATCAATAAATTGTACCCTAAATCATGTACAAATTGAACATTATCTAATTGTTTTATCTTACCTGACTGGTTTTGACTTTTACTGTACCTTTTTCCTCAACTTGCATCTCTTTTGTATTTCCAAGTTGCACCTTAATTTTTTGTGTCTCATCAAGCTCTTTGAATAAGGATTTGGTGCCTGTCAAATGGTTCGAGCATCCGTTATCAACAAATCATAAGTCACTTTTTTTTGGATTAGTATCAATACACGCCATAAAAATCTTTTCTTCTTCTTCTTCATTCTCTACTGCAAAATTCATTGGTTGATCTTTATACCAACAATTAGCTTTTGTGTGTCCATGCCTTCTGCAATGGTAACATTGTATGACATTTCTTTGTTCATTGAATTGCCTTTGTCCATCATTTCTCCATCTACCCCTGTTACTGCGACCACCATGGAGGCTACAAAATCCTCCTCTATCACGACTTCTACCTGCTAAATGAATATTTTCTTTTTCATTGTTGGCTCTCTCCTTCACTTGTAGTGAGCCCTCCTCTATCATGTCTTTATTTCATCCCTTTCTGATGATCTATTGATTCTTGACTCATGAGCCTGAAGTGAGCCCATCCGTTCATCTATGGAAGCCACCACATGGTCAAACTTTGGAGTTAAGCTTCTCAACACCTTTGCAACAATTGTTTTATCCGAAATTTTCTCTCCATAGGTATGCATTGACTATTGTCATTTCTCTTGACAAAAATTCAGCAATTGATTCGTCATTTGTCATGAGCAGAATTTCAAAATCACGTCTTAAAGATTACAGTTTCACTGTTATGACCTTTGAATCTCCCTGAAACTCCTTCTGTAGAATTGACAATGCTTGCTTTGATGTGGTTGCTGTTGCAATTCATGAAGAAATAGTCTCATGAAGGTCTTCATCTTGATGCTCCACCACTCATATTTCTCACCATTAAAGATGGGTAACAGCGATGCAGAGGAAGAAAAACCTGTTAGATAAAAGCCTGAGGTTTCCTTATTCATTTTTATTAGTTGATTGAATATCTTCCTTTGACCATTTGACAAACATGTCGAATGGATTACCAACTTTCTAGGTGGCCATTTTGAAGTAAGTGGCACAGATATAGTTGGCCACTCTCGGTCATTTTTAGGATAAGTTAATTATTTAAATAGGTGAATATGTTGAGAAAGTAAAATCACCCCTCTTCAGCAAAGTCAAATCTCAATTCTCTCTTTTTTAGGCGTTTTTTTTCTTCCAACAACTTTCTTCTCTCTTTTCGTGAAATGATTTCCTCTCACATCAATTGTGAAAAGGGATTTCCCATTGTCGATGGTTAAAAAGCAACAAGTGGTATCAGAACCTGGTTCAATCCATCAGTGGTATATCATTACGGAAGAGCCAACCTTATCAACAGTCAAGTTGAATAGTTCAAGTGGTTAGAGCGTCGACCTAACAATACACAGGTCTAAGGTTTGAGTTGAAGAAAATGCAAAGCGCAAAAATACACAAATCGTGGTTACGGTCTCTGCCCCCAGAAATGCTAGCGACAATTGAGTACGACAATTGAGTACAGTGAAATCGGCTTGGGAGGGGAATCAAATCTCGGGTCGATCTAGGGCTCGAATTGTGGGAAGAGATCGGCTTGGGAAGACTTCGTAGGGTCGTCTACTCCTCACTGAGGATGAATCATCCCAGGCCGATCTAGTGCTCTGGACTGTGGGAAGAGGAGAGCTCACCACTCTCGATAGGTACGAACCCGGGAGCAAAGCGTAATAGACTCTATGATCCTGCGGGGCGATGAGCTCACGTGTCTTGCGAGCCAGCAGCTGCACCCCCTGAACCAGTGGAGTTTGCAACACCACGGACTGCGGATTCGACGCTGGATGCCGATCACGATGATGATCTGATGGCCAGGTACTGGAGGATGGAAGACCTAGTGGGAGGAGGTGAACCATCTGGACTGGCGCCGCACGAACTTGAACAAGAGGTGGCCGAACTGCATGCCATCAGCGCAGATGAACCGAACACCTTCGTCGAAGCAGAAAGGAACCCGTGCTGGCTGAAGGCAATGCAGGAGGAGATGACATCCAGCTATGGAGTCTGGAGGATATGCCGCCGGGATAAATGGGTCTTCAAAAACTGAAGCCCAATGAGACATCCAGCTATGGAGTCTGGAGGATATGTCGTCGGGATAAATGGGTCTTCAAAAACTGAAGCCCAATGAAAAGGGAGAAGTTGTGAAGCAGAAGACCCGTCTAGTGGCGAAAGGCTACGTTCAGAAGCAAGGTGTGGACTTCAAAGAGGTATTTGCGCCGGTGGCAAGGTTGAATCAGTCCGCCTTTTTGCTGGCAATCGTGGCACATTTCTCTTGGGAGGTCCACCACATGGACGTGAAGTCTGCTTTCCTTAACGGAGAGCTGAAGGAGACCGTCTACGTCCGACAACCACCTGGCTTCTTGGACAACGGCAACCCCGGTAAGGTACTGCACCTGCACAAGGCACTCTATGGACTTCGACAAGCACCACGAGCCTAGAATGCGAAGCTCGACAGTACCCCTACTGTAACTGAAGTTCAAGCGTTGTACCTCTGAGCATGACATGTACACACACGGCCATGGCGAGCAGCGACTGATTGTGGGAGTGTACGTCGACGACCTCATAATCACTGGAGGAGACATGGAAGTCCTTGGAAGATTCAAGAGGGAGATGTCAAAGAACTTCAAGATGAGCGATCTCGGCGTATTCAGCTACTACCTCGACATCGAAGTGCAACAGAGTACTGCCGGCATCACCATCTGTCAAAGTGCGTACACAAAGAAGCTGTTGGACACTGCTGGGCTAGCAGACAGTAACCCTACAAGAACGCCAATGGAGGCCCGACTCTAGCTGAGGAAGGCCGGCACTACGATGGCAATGGACTCCACCAATTACCGCAGCATTGTCGGGAGTCTGCGCTATCTGGTAAACACTCGCCCTAATCTTGCTTATTTCGTTGGATACGTGAGTAGGTTTATGGGAGCACCTAGGGAGAAGCATCTAGTGGTTGTCAAGCGCATCCTGCGCTATGTAGCCAGAACCAGAGGCTGGGGTGTAAGATACTGCGCAGGGAGAGGAAAGGAGAAACTTGAGCTGGTCGGCTACAGTGATAGTGACATGGCCGGTGACGTTGATGATCGTAAGAGCACCAGCGGGATGATTTACTTCTTCTCAGGTGGTGCAATCTGCTGGCAATCAACTAAGCAAAAGGTAGTTGTTTTATCTTCTTGCGAAGCAGAGTACATTGTCGCTTTGACGGCAACAACACAGGGGATCTGGCTTGCGCAACTGATGGAGGAACTCATCGGAAAAGAAGGCGATCCACCAATGCTTTATGTGGACAACAAAGCTACGATCTCCCTGATAAAAAATCTAGTTTTGCACGACCGAAGCAAGCACATAGAGATCAAGTTCCATTACATTTGGGAGTGTGCAGATCAGGGGCTTATCAAGATTGACTTCATCCGAACAGAGGAACAACTTGGAGACATCTTCACCAAGTCTCTGGCACGGGTAAAATTTGAGGAACTTCGTTAAAAGATCGGAGTTCAAATAATAAGGTAGATATACCACAAGTTTTAGGAGGAGATTGTTAGATAAAAGCCTGAGGTTTCCTTATTTAGCTTTACATGTTTTAATTAGTTGATTGAATATCTTCCTTTTAACATTTGACAAACACGTCATATGGATTACCAACTTTCTAGGGGGACATTTTGAAGTAAGTGGCATAGATTTAGTTAGCCACTCTCGACCATTTTGAGGATAAGTTAATTATTTAAAGAGGTGAATCGGTTGAGAGAGTAAAATCACCTCCTTTTAAGCAAAGTCAAATCTCAATTTTCTCTCTCTATTATTTTTAGGCGTTTTTTTTATTAAGAAGCAAAGTTGCAAACCCTAAAGAGTAAGTTCAAGGTTATCCGTAAGACGGACGGTGAGTTGGTAGAATACTTTGCCATGAACTAGACAACAATCCTCATCAACATCCATTCGCTAGGAAACAAGGTTGAGGAAATCTCCATCATCAAGAGGTTGTTTCAAGTTGTCCCCACCGAGATTCATGAAAATTGTTACCTTCATCGAGCAGTTTGATGACCTCAAGAACATGTCAATTGAGGAGGTCCTTGGTTATCTTAAGGTTCATGAGGAGAGACTTCATGGTTATAGCGACAAAGATTAGGAGAAACACCTTACTCACACAAACAAAAAAACAAAAAAGATTTGGTTGATTTTCCTTTTCAGTGTGAAGGGCGCAGCGGCCACATGAGGAAAATAGAGGTTGTGGATGTGGTTACAATCGTGGCAAGGGACATGGTGGCACAAGAGGTTGTGATAATATCTCCCATACTCATGACAATATCAATGTAATAGCCCAAATATGAATAAACAAATAAACAAATAAAAATAATTATTAAAAAAATAGTTAAAATAATAAAATAATAAATAAATAAATAAAAATTAAAAGAAAAAAACATTTGGTAACCCATCCCTCCTCCTCCCTTCAATCTCTCGCCACTCCTTCCCTGAAAATAAATCTAGCAACAAATCACGAATCTCTTTAAAAACAACTGCAGATTTACCCAGAATTCTTCCTTCCTACAAAAACAAATAGAAAAAGAAAACAAAAGGGTTAAGCAGACTAGCTCCACGGGAGGAGATATGCCATTTGAAGAGATCAGTATGTTAAATCTTCCTTTTATTTTATTTTATTAAATAATATTAATTTGGTTACAATTATTTAGTTTTGAATCAGAGATTAAATGAAAAGAATTCTGTATGAGTTTAGGAAATAAAAAACTAATTATATTTTAGATCTACTAAATTGTTGCAATGATTTAGATCTACTGAATTGTTGCAATGATTTAGGTTGTAATTTTATATGAATTATAGGAAAAGAATATAACCAAATGAATCGATTAAATTAAAAGCTAAGAATATAGTTGTTAACTAAATCAGAGCGAAGACAAAGGAAATAAGAGAAAAATGAGATACAGATAGAAATACAGAACTGTTAACTGAAAAGAAAAATAATAATAAAAATAAAAGGGAAGATTTGGAAGTAGGAACAGATTAATGAAATTGAATAATACCTTCTTAAAAATAATTACAGAAGAGGGGAAAGATTAAGGAAAGATTTGTTGAACAGGATTTAACAGTAAAACAGGAAATATCAGAGTGTAGTGAGCTCCTTTAGATTTTGTCTAACACGAAATATCAGAATTTTACAATGGCCAATCTAAATTAGAGAAATAATTTTATAGAGTTCAAACTTGAAACTGATGTCATGAACTCATATAGGTTGACTTGGATTTCAAAGGACGGAATCGAACTTTCATTAAAGATATATTTGTGACAACGACTTAAGCTAGCCAGGTAAGTGGCCTTACTATCGGCATGGTTATATTTGATGTTGATACGTGCCCTGTGGTTCGGCACGTGTCATATATATTGATATGTGTGAATTGTCTGTGGATCGATATGCTTCCTATATGTTATGTTATGTTATAATATGTGGATTGTATGATAATAATTATGGTACGATGTGCTCTAGGAGATGTTTGAGATAGGATGCGAGAAGGATGCACAAAACGAAATGTAATGATAGGAGTAAGATACGTTCATGAAACGTTAGAGTTAGGTTACATACCGGAGTGCTATGGATAGGAGAGATTGATGAAAGAATACGGTTAGGTTATGGGTAGAAAGGGATAGGTTTGTGATAGATTGATGGAACGATAGCATTAGGGTACGTTCTTGTGACGATATGACTAAGGTACGTCACATAATGATATGTCTGTGATAGGTATAAGAACGTTAAGGCTATGATAAATTAGAGAACGATATGACTATGAAGTGTTTACGTTATTGACTTGGTTATTATCTGATACATTGTATGCTAGATTATTGTGCTTAAGTACGAAATCATGTGAACGTGAATGTATGTTATTTATGCTGCTTAGTTGACGTGATATGAATGCATATGACGATGTGTGGCCCTTGTACGATTATGGCTTGTTGTATGAGTATTGGAATGTAACTGAATGAATTGTATGACATGAAATACGGTAAATTGCATGATACATAACCCCGCTAGGAATATGTATGATATGTAACGAAATGAGAATGAGAATGCCATGTAAGCATGAAAACGTGACACGGGGTTATGTTCATTAAATGATGACGGTAGAACTAGTGGGACCTCATGCATATTGTGTGATCATGCATTTGGGGGGATACCCCTATCCCATCACGAGGGTATGGACGCGTACATCCAAATGGCAGGACAACGATCGTTATGCCTTGCATAGCACTGCCGTGACTGTTTTAGTTTTAATGGGTCTCGGTGGGCCCCAAGAGCATGCCCACCGGCTAGGGAAGTGGCCCAGCGGTGTGCGAACTAGCTGGTGAGCCCATACTCGCACGTATGGGCTGCGTGTCGAGTATATGGTACACGTCCACGATTACCTGTTAGGATTACACCGTAGGAAAAATGAAACGAAACGAAATGAAATGAAACGAAACGATAGGTCCCATCATTTCATTGCATGTGATTGTTGCATTTAACACCATTAGTGAGATCACTTACTGAGTATTTCTTTAAATACTCAAGCCATGTGCTACTACATTTTTCAGGTTAAGGCAAGGCATTTCTGTACGGCTGACGACGGCATCGCAACTCAAGATCATGGCACATGCATAGGATAATGGCATTTATTTTCTTAGACTTAGGATAGAATAGAATGTTTTAAACTTAAACGTTTATTTATTTTATTTCAAGTCTTTTGTTGTGTCGTTTTAAAGATGTTTTCGAAACACGTTAGTCCATGGCTGTGTTTTAAGATAAAGGTTATGTTTTATGGAATTTAAATGAAGTCTTCCGCATTCAATGTTTATGGTATGTATACAGTAGCGACCTTAAATTAAGTAAAAAATTTCGGGTTGTTACAATCAACTCCTTGATGGACAAGACATGATCAAATGTTACTCTTGTGGAAAATGCAGGCATTATGTAGCGGACTCTGCAACAATGAGCGCAATGAGGAAGCAAACCTCATATTCATGCATGACAAAGAGCTTGCACTAATATTGACTGAGAAGATGTCAACCTCTTGACGCTCGATGAAGAGAAGATTATGGTGAACATCCTTGCAGATGGAAAATATCGAGAGGAGACCAACATGTGGTACCTAGACAATGAAGCAAACATTGACATGACCGGAGGTTGAGCAAAGTTCAAAGAGCTTTATAAGAAACTCATTGAAATATGAAGTTTGGCAACAGATCAATTGCTCCGATCCAAGGAAAAGATCCATCTTGGTCCAATGCAAGAATGAAGATCAATGTCTAGTAACCAAAGTATATTACATCACAAACTTGAAGACTAATATTATTAGTCTTGGCCAAATGACAGAAGAAGACAGGAGAGTGAATTTAGTTGACTTGTTCC